GCTGCTGACCCAACCTGCAATTTTATCAAAGATTAACTTAAACACTGACTCCAGTGATGACACTGCTTGTAAATGAAAATTCCCTGGGCTCCCATCTGGGCTCTTTCTATCAGTGTGAGTAAAGAAGTCTCAACTTTCTTACAGACAGAATATGCCCACTGGCTTTTGTATTTTAACTGAAAACCCAGAAGAAGACTTCCTGCATTCAGTTGATAAACTGGGGCAGTTGATAAATGCAGGACATTGGATTTTTTGTGTTTACCCAGAACCACAATAAATACTAGTAAAAAATGGTAAGGAAAATTTCTGTTCAAATTAAGGATATTGAAGTTTGAGATATCAGTGTCATAAGGAAGCTTCACTTTAATGTGTTTTAAGTCTTGTTTCCTATGCAATTCTATGTGTCAGGTGTCTTCATTACCAGGGGCTTTATTTGGCTCTAATATGATCCTTTGAAGGGGTACATGGACCAGAGGTGCAGAACCACTTCTATAACTGGTAGCCTAATGCCAAGCCATTTTGACTTCTGTATATACATACATACATACATATATATATATATACATATATATACAGTTTAGGCCTAAAGCTATGGTTTTTAGGAGTTAATTATTATGAAGAAGAAAATGCTAAAATTACCAATCAAACAAAACCAAGCTTTAAACCATCTGAAGGTTCATTTAATCACATGATGAATGCAAGTTTCCCAGGACAGGTGTTGGAATGGGTACCTGCATTTACCAGCACCTGCCACCACTTGCTTCCAGTGGTGCATGCAAAGTGCTGCCTTTCTAAAGCATTTCTTTGTTATAATGCCTCCTGTATTCACAAGAACAGAGAAGAATAAAGAAGCATATGTCGGGTTTTTCCTTCCCTACTTTTTTTTTTATCTCAGATCTATTATCATCTTCCCTTCTATTGTCAAATAATAACTGTATGTGGAATAGCAAGACTGGAATGTCCTGTCCATCTCAGCATTTTCAGACTTGCAGTGCTTATTTCTGGGCCCCAAAATTCATGCAGAAATCTAAAATCTGCTTAGCAAATAATCCAGATGCAATGCTGTGACTCATGCCTGAAGTTCCTGCATGGATCTCAGGATTGCATCTGGAAATCCAGGTGGGAGGGGAGGCAGTGGCCATGCGTCTCCCTGCTGTCGCCTCCAGTATTCCCGGCCAGAGGAGGTAAGGAAAAGCAGGAGCCAGGTGCAGGTGGTTTTGACTTCCTGGTCTGAGTGTTCCTGTGCTGAGAGAAGCGTGAGTTGTGCTGCTGTCCTTACACTCCACGGCCTCTTGTGGGGTTTGGCACCTCCTGCCTGTCCCTTCCCTTTTGTGCTGCCTGTCAGTGTGAGTGACAGTCCTCGGGGTATAAAAGGGAGACAACTCCGTGTCTTGGACTACTAGGAGGATTTCTGAGGTTGTCTTATCCCTGCTCAGAGTATTTGCTGAGAGAAAAACTTCTTCCTGGCATGGCAAGTGGGTAAGAGAAACTTATACTAATTCTTCTCTGACACGAAGGGTGAAGGGGGTGGGATACATTTGTCTGGGAGAATATTATGTGACACGCAGCACAGCAATAGCCCTGCTTCCTCTTTTTATTCTGTCTTCTAACTTCAGTGTAAAAAATCGGTGAGACTTCTGAGCCATAAGCTGGTTTAGCTTAAAATAAAGGTGATGCTAAGATCAGATTTTGCTTAAAAATAGCTATAATGTAATGTAGTGATAATGTAGAGTTGCTTCTTCAAACATCACCTGCCTGCCCAGGACCTTGACAGACTGAGTAACTGCTGAGTAACTGCCCCCTCTTATGTTTGTTCCTTCACAATGCCCTTTCCTTTCCACCTACAAAACCTTCCTTACTTAAACTTTGGTATTTCAAATAACAGCTTTAAATGAAAAAAAAAAAAGTCACTGGACTCAAATAAAAGAAATACACAGTGGCATAAGGGGAAAATTGAGATAATGGCTTCTATCCTCTATTAACCATATAAGCTGATTCATGCATTTCACAACATTGAACCCATTTTATAAAATGATTGGAAACTTCTTGTGAATGTTCTGGTGTTTCAAATGCTCTCGGTATAAAGATTAAAGGCTGTTTAAAATTGGATGTTGTTCAAAGGATCTCTGAAGGTAAATTTACTTTGGAGAAGATGTTTGATCAAACCTTCTTTGCAGAGCTGTGTGACCCATTTGCAACATGTTTTTCTTGCTTTGACACTCTTGACTTGCTCACATTATTTGCCACTGACCTTTAATTCTCTTCATGTCCTGAGTAATTTCTGATTTACAGCAATAAAATCTTCTTTGTTTTGGGTAGAACGAAGGTTTCATACAAGAAAATCACTCGGAAAAATCAGGCACACCATGAATGTTTCACTTGAAAGCCATAATAAAATGGGGATGATATATTCTTTTGCTTTAGCCATACTGCTGGTGCATCAAGTTACTATTGCAAAGAGCCTCCCCCAAAAGTTGTCTCAGCTCTTAGAAGTGCAGACTAAGTGTTCTTGTTATTGGGGTGGTGCTTTGCTCACGAAAGCACAGCCCAGCGAGGCTCCAACTGGACAAAATCCAATTGGCCTCACTTTTTGCACAGAAATAATTTATTCTATGTGAAAGCACAAATCTAACAACTGAGAGATTTCACCATAGGGAGGGGGTTGAGAATTGATGATAAGAATCTCTGGGTTGAGTCATACATACAGTTGTACTGAAATCCAGAGAGTAAATGTGCAATACTCTTTTCCAGGACAACCTTACCTAAAAGCTGGTGTGTCATGGATTTGCATGAAGGTGTTGAGCATCTTCTCATTGAAGTTGTCTCACCTAATATGTGTAAGCAAAGTTTATGGCCCTTTTCGAAAGAAATACTGCCCAGAAAGAGTTTTTACAAGATGACTGTGGAAGCTGCTAAACAAGTTCTTTGCTTTGGCAAGGATGTATTTTTGTTTAACCTTCGGTTTCAATGTGTACAGGTGCTTTCTGTTTGGAAACAGAGAAACGTGAAAAAGTCCACGATGATATTGTGGTAGCACCCAGCAGAGATAAAGGAGAGAAAAGGGTTTTATTTTCTAAAATTAAGTGAATTCAGAGTTTTGGGACAAGATTTCTGAATGCAGGATTACGTTTAGTAGAAGTATATTTATGAAACAAATATGAGGATTGAAATCTGTTAGGTAACCCTCTCCTGAGTAGACACATTGAGCTCATGCAATATTCCATAACATCTTTAGAGGAGGAAAGGTCCAACAAAGCCCTAAAGTGCTTTATAAACACAGGATAAATCTGCTCAGAGCAGACCAAGAAGAAACAGAAGGTATTGAAGGGATGACAGATCTCCTGTGTAGGTGACTTTTACCAAAATACATCCATACTAAAATATGTGCGTATAAAATACCAAATTTGTGGAACGAAGTATTATAATAAAACCCAACTGACACTCTCTCTAATGCTTCACATATCTTGAATGTCCAGCATACAGCAGACTCCTATCCACCACTTCCAAAGTAAAAACTGTATTAGACACAATATGATGGCTCTCAAACAGATGGGAGGGGCAGGCAGCAGGAGGGCCCAGAACCCAGGATAAAAGTGACCCAATAAAATTAGGTCAGTCTTTTCCCTTCTTTCAGGTATTGACACCTTTTCAAGCCTAGTTCAAAATTCAAGTGATCTTGTAGATCTGTCAGTACCTCGTGAGGTACATGATGGCTCAGGTTCACAGCTCCAGGCAGCCTGAGGTGTGGCAACCCTGCCCTTCTGTGAGAGGCTGCTTTCCCCACTCTAAATAGTTCTGTGAATATCACATGTACTCTTTATGCTCCTCAGCTGCTGCAGCACATCCTCTGGGGCTTTAATGTAAACTGCCTGCTTTTGGCTCCTAGCTCAGGGACGTGAATTCCTTTGGGCATCAAGCTCTCAAAGAGTTAAGCACAGATTGCTTGAGCTTTTCAGGGTTTTAAACTTAGGGTATGAGTTCCACCCCAAAGTTACACAGAGAATCTGGAGAAAAAGTATTGCTCAGTGACAGGGGGAAAAATTTCAGTTCTCCAAGCACAGTTTGCTGCTTTCTGCTTCTTCCAGTATGGAGCTTAAACCATCAGTTTCTGAGCCTGCCACAAAGTGCAGAGAGGAGAGGACACATAAAATGCTGGCTCACTTTTTGCACTTCCTGGCTCTCAAGCTGCCTCTCATGAAGGCTGCCATGTCGGAAGACTGTGACTTCACCACAATATTTTGCCACTGGCAGGAGGATACAGCGAGTTATCTCCATCCTGGACAGCACAGAAGGAGAAGACGTAACAGGAATCAGGAGGTTCAGAGCTGGACTTGAAGGTGCTTTAGTTTAGTATGGGAGAACCAGTTGTTAAAATCATGGCACGTTGGCCAAACAGCTATTTGAAAGAAATGCCCATTGTTAACAGATTTCAGTATTTTTCTTATTTTCTGCCTTGGAGGAGAATTCAAAATTATCAAGTGGTTCTTCTCTGGGCTTTGATGCAAGTGCTGGTTTGTAACTGATTAATTCCACTGTCACTCGTTTACAGATTAATCCAATCCTCTTTCTTCTCCACTCTATTCTCTATCCTATTGATGTGGACATGATGCACTTGGAGCTACCTCTGGGCGGTTCATCACAGTAACAACACTTCCTAAATCTTGCTGATAGATGGATGAATAGACTTCTGAAAGCTATACACTACTATGCAGGACAAAATTCCATTAAAAACAGGGAAAGGAGCAGCCTGGGTAGGTCTGTATGTGCATCAGAGATCAGTGCATGAGAGATATTTATTGTAGAGGGAATTCTTCACTTCCTGTTCTGTTGGTAGTGCTGTTGCACACTGGTAACATCTCCTGCTTGCCTGTGGTTTGTACAAGAATGAAATACCACCATCTTCACTTTTGTTTTTTGGAAACTGCAAGAAGACTTATCAACAAGAACTTTTTCAAATAAACTCTAACATAATCTTAGGGGAGGCTCAAGTTTCTTTACGGGTTACCTGCATTCTTTAAAGACGGATGTGTGGTTTTTAGACTGGCACTGACAGGAAGGTGTGGGGAGAAAGAGAAACCTCTCCTGATGACAAGCTGGTATCCAGAACATGGAGTGACATTAGAAGACTCCAGAAGTGGGACTTACAGAAGTAACAGCACGTCTTTTTTTAATGTGTATTTCTCTGCATTTCTTGACAGGAAGGCCTTAAATCATGAACTTTCTAAACTTTTCAGTGAGATGTGGGATATGGATGTTCACCGCCTCATGCCTGGGAGAGACTACACGATTGATGTGCAGGTAACCAGTTGCCAAGTCACATGAGGATTAAGGGCAGTGTGGTGCTGTAGGAAAAGGTGTCTGCAAAAGTGCCTTTCCTAAAAAAAAGTTGCCTGTGCTTTGTAATTTCCATTTTCAAGATCCAACAAGACGATACTCTGAGCAATACGGTCTGAATTCAGTGCTGGCCACACTTTGAGCAGAACTAGAGGTGTCATGAGGTCCTCTCCTGGACATCCATGGATGTTTCAGCATGTGAATGATGGTTTGTGTGTACAGTCTGGGTGACTTGCAGTAGATGAGATAGAACCCAAGTCATTCTTAGGGGAATAAGGGAGGAATTTGAGGAATTCTTGGGTTTTTCCTGGACAGTGGGGAATAGCACAGAGGCGTGGGTGAAGAGGATTTCGGGGCTGTTCCTTACAGTCCGAGGGAACTGTAAGGGAGGAGTGGGTATCAGATTTGATAGGCAGCCATTTCACTCCTTTCTAGCTCAGTGTAGTGCAAACACAACCATGTGTTTTAGCCACAGATTGCAAGAGGCCACTGAATATTCAGAATCCAGTTTTGTACTCACACAAATACTCACTTTATTCCGATGTTACTCAAATGTTTTATTCCAATGGTGCTTCGCATTATAACATATAATGTTCTGTTGCTGATAAACTTGAAATAGGGGTCCCAAAATATACCCAAAATATGCGTGGGGGAAACTTCTCCCATATGGTTTGTCTTAACAAGGCTCTACTTACCCTTGCCCATGTTAACAAACTGCTACTCATCTTCTATCCTCTTTCCTTGGGAATGCCCTTTATGAAATAGAAATTTGAAAATTGTCAGGAAAGCCTCCTCACAACTGCACAGAGAAGGAGGGTCCTCAAATGTCCTTTTTATTTATTCAAGTTGGGAAGGACCCTTGGCTCTACATTACTTCTGCTTGTCATTTATACAGCAGAGTGTTACGACCCGCCCCAGAAAAAGGGGAGGGGGATAACCCAGGTTCTTATCAATAATTCCCTTGGGGTGGATTAGAGTAAAACGACACTGAATAATCAGTGTTTGAAAACATATATAGGTAGGGTTTATTTTAACAATTTTGTTTTAACAGGTATGTTAGCATTTTGGGTGTTGTCATCTATATTATCTATCACAGGGATGACCCCTGGGGGGAAAATGCATAAGGGAGAGAAAGGAAAGACGGGATAAGGCTAAGGGAGAGTAAGGGAAAGAAAAGCTGAGAGTGGACAGATGTCTATAGTCACCGCCCACGGGGTCCAGCGATGAAACTTGGTAGTTGCAGCTTCCATGTCTGTCATTTGAAGTGGTGGCCTTGATCTGCTGGGGGTGAAGGAGGGAAGCCCCCAGACTCCAAGAAGTTATGAGTTATTATATCCATGGTTAGTGTCACGGGCCATGCCTCGAGCCTCCAACCTCTCCCTGGGCCTGCGCAGAGTTTTCTGTGTCTGGCCTGGTTCCCACCTTTCAGGATTGGCAGAGGGAGGGATGGGCTTTGATGGGCCATCAGAGGTATAATGCAAAAGTCCCTTGGCAATCCTAGAAATCATTAACCGTTTCAGTCTCTGACACAGAGTAACACAGCTGACTATTGATCAGAACTGAATTATCACATGGATCATCACAGTCATCTCTGAGCCAACGGAGAAATTTCAGGCTCTTACAGTGTCAGAGATTATGCCTTTTTTACTTTATGTTGGCAGTTCTTGTGTAATGTCTTCTCTTGTTTCATAGGAAGACAATTCCTAACAAAGAATCCTGATGGGGTTTGTTTGGATTATTACAAAGGCAGGCACTGTCTCCTCTGAGGACATCTTACTTCCCACATTGTTTTACTCTGGTATTTCTCCCAGGGAAAAGCAGGTCCAGCACAGCCAGGGGACAGTGCTGTCCAGGACAATGCAGCCAGACATCTGTTCCACAATGTAAATGAAGGACTCCTGAAGAGCATAAAAACTTTTGCAAGTGAGACCCGTTCTTTTGTTAATGGTGGACATGACATGAAGAATCCATGTTGGGTTTTATGGGTTTGCCTAAAATATAGCATCATATATTATTTGGATGGTGGTGAGGATCATCAGGCTGCGCGTCATTTGAAGGGGGTTTTCATAACGTGGAGGTTACCTTTGACCGCAGACTCAGGGAGAACATCTTTTTACACCTTAGCCAAAATCTGAATTTCTCTGTGATTCTTTCACTACAAAGTAAAAAGGATGAGACTCTTGAGGAAGGACTGAAAGAGGTGGGATTTTTCAGCCTGCGAAAGAGAAGGCTCCAGGGTGACCTAATTGTGGCCTTCCAGGACCTGAAGGGAGCTATAAGAAAGATGGAGGGAGACTATTTCCAAGGGCCTGGAGTGACAGGACAAGGGGGAATGGCTTCAAATTGACAGAAAGTAGGTTTAGATTGGATATTGGGAAGAAATTCTTCCCTGGGAGGGTGGTGAGGCCCTGGCACAGTTGCCCAGAGAAGCTGTGGCTGCCCCATCCCTGGAACTGTCCAAGGCCAGGTTGGATGGAGCTCTGAATAACCTGGGTTAGTGGAAGGTGTTCCTGCCCATGGCAGGGGGTTGGAATGAGATGATCTTTAAGGTCCCTTCCAACCCAGGCCATTTTACGATTCTATGTTTCTGTATATTAAAAAATACACCAAATTCATCTTTCCTCCTTTGCTCACAGCCTCTAAGCCCTTGCAGACAGCTCTACATCCACAGCTATTCCATGCATTGCTGTTGGGGGCTATAGTTCAAGCATGTCCATGAATGTATATTTCCTTCCCTAATTTTTCTTAAGCTATCTCATGTACGTTTAAACTGTATTATTCCTCCACTGAAATAGTGCCCACAAAGCCTTGTGCCAGCATAGCTCAAGTTCCTAAGCCTATGTCTGTAATTGTGGTGGTCAGATGTGATTTGTTTTGGTAGAAGGTCATTATTGCTTCAGCACTTGGCTCCCTAAGGAAGCTCAGTAGATGCTTATTTTTAAAAAGATCTTTAAATGTACAGGAGTGATCTGGCCTTGAGTCACCTCGAGACCTACACCCAGCAGCATTCCTGAAAATGGAATTTGACATATAAAGGAATGGCTTTCTCTAAGGGTTATGTCTCAAGGCGTATTCCATGGTATCTTTTTATCATGGTACACTCAGGCATATGGCCTGATCATCAGGATGAGCATGCTGGAAGTTTCTCTTTTTCTGCAGCCTTTATTTCCTTATTGGACAACTATGAGACATCAACTGGTGTAGCTGAAGTAGTGACTCCAGAAGAAATAGCTGAAAACAACAGTTTTCTTGATGCTATCTTAGCAACAGAAGTCATGAGGGTAAGTAATGCAGATCTTTTTTTGTCACTGAAAACACTGAATTAAAAAGTAAACTGTGTCTGTGTCTTGGTTTTCTATCCTTCAGCGAGCTCATGAATATCTGCTCAAAAAAAACCTAGCAAAGCCAAACCTTACTGATTTCAAACATCAGCTCTATGACATCTGGTTCCAGCTCTACGCCAGGAAAGGAGGAGACAGGTATGTTTGATGGGTATGGCCACTGTTCATTCCTATGCTGTTTGATTTAGGTAAATATCTGAGTGCCATCTGTTACACATTGAACTGGAAGACATCCTCAGAATGGCTTCAAACTGACAGAGAGTAGGTTTAGATTAGACATTAGGAAGAGATTCTTCCCTGTGAGGGTGGTGAGGCCCTGGCACAGGCTGCCCAGAGAAGCTGTGGCTGCCTCATCCCTGGAAGTGTCCAAGGCCAGGTTGGATGGGGCTCTGAGCAACCTGGGATAGTGGAAGGTGTCCCTGCCCATCAGATGATTTTTAAGGTCCCTTCCAACTCAAACCCTTCTATGACTATGCATGTTGCCTAAATTAGGTGTTGAAATCTTACTGTTCAGAGACAGTGTTGACCCTTGGGGTACATTGCTGGTGAATTGCCTCCAGCTGCACTTTGTGAACCTAATCAGAGGCCTTCGACCACAGGCTTTTCAGATCTTACTTCATCAGTTTGACTATGAGTCTGTTACAGGAAACAGTGCCAGAAACACTGATAAAATCTGGATAAGCATCAGTGATGCATCTGTGGCATTTACTATCAACCTTCATCATCAAATACAAATTCAGTCCTCATGGCTGGAGTTTATTGCAAGTTTTGAGCAAAGTGAGAAAGAAAACCTAACAAATCCAGACAGAAACTACTCACCAATCAACCTAAACAAGATTGTGCATCTTCTTACCTTTCACCTCTGCCAATTTGAACTATTTAAACACATAAAAGACCAATATATTGTTCTTTTGTTTATTACAGACCCGATTCTTGTGGTTTTGAGCATGTTTTTGTTGGAGAAACAAGGCATGGCAAAGAGATCTTAGGTTTGCACAACTGGGTGCAATTCTACCTTCAGGAAAAGCGCAACCAAATTGATTACAAGGGATATGTCGCTCGGAAGAACAAAACCAGGGTAAGAACAAGCAGGGTGCCTTTGCAAGCAAGACAAATGGATACAGTTGTGGCAATGAAACAAGGCTCAGTGATGCAATCACAGGCTCAACTGTTTTGAACAGTAATAAGTATATACAGTATAAGTGTAGATAAGCACCATAAATACCACCCTGCCTTCCAGCTTCCTTTTTTGCAAAAACTGTTTTAAAAAGTAGTGATGGTGTTTACAGAATTGCAACACTGTTGGGGCTTAATTGAAATAAATGATCACATATGGTCCAGAGGTCAGGGAGAAGACTGTGCTCCAGCTATAGCACCCTGGCACACCAAGCATGACTAAATCTTGCAAAGCTCTCAAAAACCTGGAATCAGAAATTCTATCTGCCCTCTCACAGCTGTGTTTGAGATTATCCTGTTGTTTTGTTTATGCTTTCAGCCTGACAAAGATGATCAAGTTTTAAGCATCCAGTTCAGCTGGAAGGGCTCGGTCAAGCCAATTGGAAGCACCTTTATTGGTGTGAGCCCGGAGTTTGAATTTGCCCTTTACACCGTCATTTTCCTGCTGTCTGAAGAAAAAGTCACCCGTGAAACAGTGAAAATAGATGAGTATGAGCTACAGATGGTTGTCTGGCGCCATGGGCACCACATTGGAACAGCATATCCTGTGCTGCTCAGCACCAGTAGTGAAGACTCGTAGTTAGAGCAGTCCACACTCCTTTTTTTTCCAGAAGAAGTGTGGTGTGGTGGGGAAGGGAGGAAAGGATGGGGGATGGACAGAACCAGACAGCAGAATAAGTTAATGTGCTGTTTTATACAACTCATTTTAAGTAAAAATTGATGACTCACTCTCTTTTGGTCTGCAATGTAGTGTTAAGTCAGAAGTGTGCTGCGACTTAGCGTCTGACAAACCATGAAACATACTGCTGCTCACATTAAAGGTTGAATCAAATTTACATTAAATTTACATCAGCCTTCTCTGCTGCTCCAGCTGGATCCCTATAAATCTCTGGGGCCTGGTGGGATTCATCTGAGAAAGCTCAAAGAGCTGCTGATGCCACTGCAAGGCCTCTCTCGATGATTTTTGCACTGTCTTGGGAACCTGGAGAGGTCCCAGTTGACTGGAAACTGGCTAATGTTGTTCTAATTTTCAAAAAGGACAAGAAGGATGACCCTGGAAACTACAGGCCTGTCAGTCTCACTTCAGTGCTTGGTAAAGTTATGAAGAAGATTATTCTGGGAGATATTGAAAAACAACTGAAGGGCAATGCAGTCCTTGGTCACAGCCAGCACGGCTTCATGAGGGGAAAGTCCTGCTGATCAAACCTGATTTCCTTTTAGGACAAGGTAACCCACTTGGTTGATCAAGGGAAGCCAGCTGATGTAATCCTTCAGATTTCGATAAAGCTTTGGATACTGTCTCTCTCAGGATCCTTCTGGACAAAATGTCCATTCCACAGCTGGATAAACTCATCATGTAGTGGGTGAGCAATTGGCTCACGAGTCCTGTACAGAGGGTGACAGTGACTGGGGTGACATTGGACTGGGGACCTGTCACTGGTGGGGTTCCGTCTTAGGCCCAGTGCTCTTCTACATCTTCATAAATGACTTGGACACAGGACTGGAAGGGATACTGAGCAAGTCTGAAGATGATACAAAACTGGGAGGAGCTGGTGACTCCCTTGAAGACAGAAAGACCCTTCAGAGAGACCTTGGTAAGTTAGAGGATTGGGCAATCACCAATCCTGTGAAGTTTAACAAAGACAAGTGCCAGATTCTGCACCTGGGATGGGGTGACCACATGGGGTGATGTAGGAACAGACTGGGGAATGAGATGCTGGAAAGCAGTGCCAGGAAAGGGCCCTGGGGGTCCTGGTCAATGGCCAGTGGGACACGAGTCAGCAGCGCCCTGGCAGCCAGGAGGGCCAACCCTGTCCTGGGGGGCATCAGGCCCAGCATCACCAGCTGGGCCAGGGAGAGGGTTGTGTCCCGCTCTGCTCTGACCTGGAACAGCCTCACCTGCAATATTGGGGCACCATAATATAAGAAAGACATTAAGCCATTAGAGAGTGTCCAAACGAGGACAATGAAGATGGTGAAGGGCCTTGATTTGAACCCGTGTGAGGACACTGAGGGCACTTGGTGTGTTCAGCTGGAGGAGACTGACCTCACTGCAGCTACAACTTCCTTGGGAGGGGAAGAGGAGGGGCAGGGACAGAGTTCTGCTCTGTGGGGACCAGGGACAGGACCCCTGGGAATGGCCTGAAGTTGTGTCAGGGAAGGTTCAGGTTGGATATTAGGAAAAGGTTCTTCCCCCAGAGGGTGATTGGGCACTGAACAGGCTCCCCAGGGCAGTGGGCAAAGCACCAAAGCTGACAGAGCTCAAGGAGTGTTCGCATGATACTCTCAGGCATAGGGTGTGACTCTTGGGGATGGTCCTATGCAGGGCCAGGAGTTGGACTTGATGATCCTTGTGGATCCCTTCCAACTTGGAATATTCTGTGATATTCTGTAAATGCTGCAGAGACCAAGCCAAGGGTTCCCACAGCTCTTGAAACTGCACGAGAGATTGCTCAGGCCTTGATACACAGGAGGAACAGCTAAGAGAACAGCAATAGAGGACCAACTGAGAGATGCTGATGAATGGGTACAACCTTCCCTGCAGCACCAAGTGTCCTGAAGGACAACAAGAGAGGCTGAACTCAGGCTCTGGTGAATATTTGAAACACCTCAGGGTCTGAGGCAGACATCGGAAATGGTACAAAATCATAGAGCTGTCCCATGGAACATCTGCTCCCTGCTCTAGAAAACAACTCTGTGGAAGGTCAAAGGCACTCAGTTTGCTTCAGGTTGGGGAACTTCCCTGCTGCCAAGGGCCCGCAGGTCACACTGCAGGCCTTGACTGCTCTTGAGAGTCCTGTTTCATCTTTGCATAGGTGGCAGGGCAGAACTGAGAATAGAGCTGAGCCAGCAGAGCCTGGGAAGGGATCTCTAGCCTGGTCCTGTGGTGCATTTGATTCCATATGTGCACTGCATAGGTGTTCTTCAGGAGTTTGTGAAGCTCCGAGGCACTGGTTGCCTCAAATAATTTCTTCCAGTCCTGCCAGGGAATAGGATAAACTGCTTCTGGGTCAAGAGCCCTCACCCCTTTGCAGCTCATGCTCTGAATAGCCCTGATGGGGCACCACTTCTTGAAGACACGTGTTAGGAGATGTGGGCCCTGGTGTCCCCAGATCCAGCTCTTGTAGTTCTTCACAAAGTCTTTCATGCAAAGCTCCATGAACCTGTGCTTGGGCTTAAAGGACAGAAAGGCCCCGTTCAGTTCATCCTCACTCTGTATCCCGAGGGAATTGGTGAGGTTCTGTAAGTTCCTAAGCACAATGAAGTCTGTATCGAGGTAGATGCCACCAAATTTCCACATGAGGACAATTCTGCAGGCGTCAGACAGGACGGGTAGGAAATAAGGCTCCCAGTGCCGCAGAGGCCACAAGTACCACTTCTTCAGAGGCGTTCCAGAAAAGAGCTCTGGCAAGTCCAGGGGCCGGATTTCCACGTTGGGGAAGCAGCTCAGCAAGGAGAAAGCCCAGTGTTTGGGTAAGGAGGCATTTCCTTTTGCCAAGCCTTTCATGAGCACCACAACACTTGTCCCGGGGTGTGCCCTGGCCGCTGACTCCACAGAGCACGAGAACAGGTAACCTGGGTTAGTCCGCTCCGAGGTCTCCACGAAAAACACATTCCCTCTGGAAGGAGAGGGCTCCCCAGCATTGGGAAGGGAAAAAGGCACAGAGTGAGCACAGTTGAATTCCCCAGGCAGGTCATAGAGGCCACTGCCATAGGAGTCCTCCGCGATTCTCCAGTACAACGTGAGGTAGGCAAAGGACACCAACATGAGGGTGAGGATGAACAGAGCCCTGTGCTTGTGGTACAGCAGCACCCTGGGCAGCTTTAGCAGGGAGTTGGGCATCCTGAGCATCATCTCTCCGGCCAGAGCCTGCTCTCCTGAGACTGCTGTCAGGACCTAAATGGAAGGAAAGAAGAAATAGACTCTGACATAGGTGGCAGCAGACCACAAGCCTTCCTTCATGGTCAGGTACTATCTTTATTGGTGCACAACAAGCTCTGGGAACAGCATTAGAAGCCTTATCTATCATCTTTCAGAATTTCAGGCCATTCTGGACATGAGATATATATGCAAAATGACTTGGGGCCACTGAAATAGGAGTGCTCCTTATGAACATTCCCGGAGCTCTGTCAACAGACATTGTGTGGAGCTGCTGCCCTGACAGCTGTCTCCCATGATGAGTTTTTTCTCCTGTCCTTCCCCCCAAACCAAACAGTCTCCCAGGCTGTTGAACCAGCAGTTGCTGCCTTTTGAAACCAACCACCCACCCCTGCAGAGAGCCTGGGTCATTTTTCATGGCACAGCAGCCTAGTGGAATGGATGGAGAGTGGGAGGGGAACAGATACAAGGCAGCTCTGGAGGCAGATGCAGACAATTAAGGACAAGAACTGCCTTGGTAAAGTGAGTTTCAAGGCTGCTTCCCAACCCTACAAAGGCCATGCTGGATATGACCTGCTCAGCTCTTCCAGTGGATTCTGGTGATGGATATCACAATTCCCCTACCCTCCTGCCCTTACTCCCTCTCTTCTTCTGGCAAAAGGGAGGGATGGAGAGGAATAGATTATTAATGATGCAGCAACAAACAGGTAAGTCATTCTAGCTGCATTCTCAGCATTTGCATCAGCATTTCTGCTCTTTCCTCCCCATAAAGTGAAGTTAAAGCATAACCAGCACCCTCTGGACCCACCAGCGAGGCCCCAAAGGTCAATGCACAAAAGCACATAAAGAAGCAACAAGGGAAGATTGTGGCATTTTAGGACCAGAAGAAATGGCCTCAAGTTGGGCCAGGGAAGGTTTAGAGTGGACATTAGGAGATATTTACTCACTGAGTTATCAAGCATTGGCACAGGCTGTCCAGGAAAGTGGTCACCATCCCTGGAGGTGTTCAACAGACATGTAGGTCTGGCACTTAGGGACTTGGTTAAGTGGTGGACTTGGCAGAGCAAGGCTTGGGGTCGGACCCAAAGAAAGCAAGATACTCACCTGCCTCTGCTTTCAAGACACCAGAGAATTCACTGCTCAGCTGGACAAGATTTTTAACAGGTCAGCATCTCTGAGAGCACCTACAACTCTGTGGTCTGGCACTTCCTTCTTCTGGAAAGAAAAGGTGGGAGATGGAGTCTGAAGTGACAAACAGTGATAGGTGTGTAAATTTGCTACAAATTCAGTAACAAAACCAGGGAGGGGGAAAAGGTCCAGCAAAGTGCTGCTGCATACCCAGGTAGGGGTTCGGGACAAAAAATATCACTGATCACAAGCAGCAAGAGAAAACAGCTGAAGATCTCCATTTTCTCCTGATTTACATTATTAACGAGAGTAGAAGAGGTAAGATTTGGCAATACCAGCATTCAGTAGGTGACTAATCAGTCAGGCAAATAGAAGCAGAGTGGTGCCAAACAGGGGGATTTAGGAGAATTAGTTTTTTAGCGTTTTACCAACAACATTAGAGCTCCTCCTTCTGACCTTGCAGGGAACGACAGACCAAGCACATGTGAATATTTGAGGCAAGATGAGAGCTGCTTCTAAGGTGTTTAATTTCTGCTTTTACAAGCCTAGTGTGACTGTCCTGGTCACTCCCCAAGTGTAGATCTCTGCAGCTCAAAGTGTAGATTTAATGATATATATATTACAGTAGATGAAAGAGTAGAGCTGAGTTTATCTCCCAAAAACTCCAACAGCTTTTAACATTGTGAAATAGGCTGTGCAAATGCACAAAGTTTAATTGAAGGGTTCTGTCACCAATGTACCAATGTCTCCCTCAAACTCCATGTAGTCAAAGTGGTGCCAGGTTCTTAACAAAGTTAAAAAGCAGTAACTTTTCACGAGGAATATGTTCTTTAAAGAAATTTTTGTCTGAAATGTGCAAAACATTTAAGTATCTTCTCTGCTTTAATCTCTGTTTACCTTTTGGTAAAAGGTTGCATAATTTAAAATAAATAAAATCAATACAATGCAATAGTAAAAGCAGAAGTTCTGTGAGACAAACCAAAAATGTGCAAAATGTAACAGAGAACTATATTATGCTTGCTATAGAGAGCTATAGGTCAACTTGGTAACAGAACAGAATTTTCCATTTCAGATTAATCACTCCTCAGCTGGGGGGGGAAGGAAAAATCTCTGGTGAGATTTTTTTTCCTCAGCCATTTTTTTTAATCTCTGTTGAACAAAAGCCTTGTTGTTCTATGATTTTTCCAACACACCTCCAGTCTCTCAGACTGACAACTTTGGAGTGTTTCTACACTTCCTCTAGGCAATGACACATCACCTGGTATCATATATTGTCCTCTAGCAACACCCTTCCCTTTGTGGTAATAT